AAACAGAAAAAATCAAGGTTAGCGCCCAGCTATGGTTTCACTACATGTTTCAGCCACTAACGGCCATCATCAGGCAAACACATATTAACAAACGTATACCATTGAACTGCTGTACACTAAATTGGATACAATGTTATTAATAATTTAAAATACTTTGCATAAAAATACAATAAGTCAGATTATATAAAGACTAAAAGTTATTGTATAAAACAAGATAAAACTTAATTGATGTTATACAACATATAATCAGTCGTTGATTTTTTACTTTTCATATATTTCCATGGACCAATTGGAAGTTCGATATTTCTTTTATATAAGAATGTATAGGAGGCCCATGATGTTGCAAATTAATTAATGTATAGTCAGTGCCTCATCTTACAAAGAATTTTCCGTACTGTATGGAAAGTAAACAATGACTCTTGTATAATTGGTGCCTCATCTTACGAAGAATTGTCCGTACTGTATTGACAATTCTTTGTAAGATGAGGCACTGACTATACATTAATTAATTTGCAACATCATGGGCCTCCTGTACATTCTTATATAAAAGAAATATTGAACTTCCAATTGGTCCATGGAAATATATGAAAAGTAAAAAATCAACGACTGATTATATGTTGTATAACATCAATTAAGTTTTATCTTGTTTTATACAATAACTTTTAGTCTTTATATAATCTGACTTATTGTATTTTTATGCAAAGTATTTTAAATTATTAATAACATTGTATCCAATTTAGTGTACAGCAGTTCAATGGTATACGTTTGTTAATATGTGTTTGCCTGATGATGGCTGTTAGTGGCTGAAACATGTAGCAAAACCATAGCTGGGTGCTAACCTTGATTGTTTCTGTTTGTTGTGTTGTGACAGTCAATAAAATAGTTGTATATTGTAACAACAGGATGCTTGAAATGAAAATTCGCAAGGTCTGTCACCTCTCTTCCCTAAGCACTTGCTTTGAGATCAGTCAGGACTCTTAGCGGTTCTCATATGAGTCCAGTAGACATCTGAAGGCAGGCAGTCTGATGACTTTCACAGAGTCGTCAGCGTCTGACACCACCATTTGATTGTCAGTGCCATTAATAAGCTGCTAACTAGATGGTTGGTGGACACATAGCAAGATTCCTGCCTTCAGCCTGAAGGACCTCAGGGTGTGACAGTTCCCCTACAGGAACTGCACACACTTCATGATGCCTTACACTTTGTTTTAGAGGGACCGTTACCCTGTTTCCCATCCTTTCAAATGGTACTTCTCATCATAGTGTGAATGCCAGATGTGTCTTCTAATGGGGTTCCATCAGTGGAGCACAAAGTATACAGATTAGAAATGGTGACTGTTTAATTTCCTTACCAATTGACTGATGGAATAGCAGCTTGCTTCGTAACTAAATAACTTCTCCATTTTGACTCCCTTCTTTCTGCCTAATTTCTGATCAGCTTTCTGATGACTGGATGCAAAATGAAGTACATGCTTTCTTATTTTTAGCTGAGTGCCAACTAATACTAAAGTTCCTCTCACTGACTTCAGCTGGACTGCCAGCTGACTCCCCAGTACCATTCAGCTGACTTCCACTGCCAGTTGATTTATTTCACCATAAGCAAGGCATATAAGGATTTAGAGATTCCCCCCTCTGTGACCCCTTCTGTGGTCAGAGTTTCTGGCTACAGATCCAGAGGTCCCGGGTTCTGTCCCCGGTGCTACCAGATTTTCTGAGAAGTAGTAGGTCTGGAACAGGGTTCATTCAGCCATGTGAGGATAATTGAGGAGCTATTTCAAGGAAAGAGGTTCTGGTCTAGAAAACCGAGATTAATGGCCTTTGGGGTCTTTTTTATTCTAGAAAATAGTATTGTAAATACAAGAAAGGCCTAGGCATTGCCCATCCAGCCTTCTGTAGCACATTCTTATAAATATCTTATTCTATAATAGCAGTTACCCAGTGATTCTTAATATAGATCTTAACTTAAATCTGAGAGTACTGTTAATAATCAGTACAATTACTTCTTTGACTTTTCTTACATATCTATTTTATATAAATATAGGAATGTTTTTTATGAAGTAACAGACGCCTTGCAGAAATCTTTTTTCTTCTATCCTTAAGACCTCTGTTACTGACTTTGGGTATTCCTTTTGCTGTTCTCAGACAAAATGTCCATCATTGTTGCCCGTTGGTCATAGTACTGTTTGCAGTCCCAGAAGATATGTAGTTCTATCCAAAAGTTCCCGAAATATATTAATAAAAACTATTACGTCTTACCTGGATCTTATTCTCCACCATCACCTTCAAAGTAGTCCCCTTGGGAGTGCATACACCGATCCCAGCGTTTCTGCCACTTTTGAACTGCATCCTGGAAGTCTTTCTTTGTTAGGGTGTTCAGTCCTCTCCCTGGGTTGTCAGCTAAAGCTGGTAATTCTTCCAGCAGCTGGATCATTGCTTGATGTGTAACACCTGGACACATAGTTCCTTCCCAGCTGTTTGAATGTACTAAAAATTGGGATTTCTTTTGCTTCTGCTAGCATTACATTGGTTGGGGTGGTACTCCTGTAGCCCAGTGCTCCACATATTGTCCTGTACTATATCTTCTCTAGCTTTTGTGCTTGTTTCTTCATAAGTTTATGGAATAAAAATGCTCCATATTCCATCCTCGACCTTATAAGTGCCTTATAGAGTCTCATTAAGATTATGGGGTCCGCTCCCCACCAAGTGTGCTTCACACAGTTCATGATTTTCATCAGGTTTTCACATTTCCTAACTATTGCATTTATTTCGTCCTCCCATTCTAGATTAGTTTTTAAGTGCAGACCTAAAATTTTAATTGGTTTGACCGAAGAAATCTTTTCCCCTTGTACCGTGATCTCCCACTCTCCATCAGGTGTCCCTTTTTTATCAAAGATACAGAGTAGACATTTTTTGGTGCTATTTCCAAGCCACTTTCCTTTAAATAAAGTTCAGTGCTAAGTATGCTCTTTTCCACTTCTGAGACGCCAATTCTGCTACAACTGTTAACTGAATAAACTACCACATCGTCTGCGTATTCCAGGATTTTGCAGTTCTGCTTGATTTTGGATTTCAGTTCTGCCATATAAAGTAAATATAAGGCTGGACTCAGAAGAATACCTTGCGGTAAGCCTTTGTATGTCCATTCTTTTAGAATGATCCCTCCATAGTTTGCCTCTAGTTCCCTCGTTGAGACCAGGTTAAAGATGAAAGCTAACAGGTTTCCTGAGAAGCCTACTGCCTTGAGTCTATCCATCAAAGTGACACAGTGGACCCTTGACCTTGGGGATCGGTTGCACTGACCACGCAACACCCTCTATCCGCTAAAGTTGGCACAAACTTCGCTGACCAGCGGACTACAGGCCACAGAGTTTATTTTATTGCCTTTAATGATGTTGTGTACTTACGGATTAGAAGGGGGGGGGGCATACCTAGGTGTAGAAATTGTGTTAGTGCACAAATTAAAACAAGTGCATAATGTGATTGGTTGAGATGAAAGAATGCCCAGAATGTTCTAGATGCTTTAGCATCACTCCTTTCATAAGATCCAGATTGTTTGGAAAGCTATGTAGCTGACATTGAAGGCTGAGGTCACCCAGGAACTTACTAGAAGCTTCCCAGCAGGTGGAGCCTATAAGAAGTTGTCACAAAAGTCCTGTCCAGTCCAGTGCAGGGCAAACAAGTGAGTTGAATTAGTGAGTCAGTCAGTTTTTGTCAGCTCAGGGCAATGCCATGCAGTACAGTGAATTTGAAAAAGAAGTGAAAGCAGTGAGTCATCAGTGGTGTTGCTGTTAAGTACTGAGTGATCAGAGAACTGACCTCAAGAGCTTTCGTGGTTATGGATGATGGGCAGTAATTGCTTCAGATATTGATAAATGTTACAATAGGTAAGGCTGGTGGCATCACTGGGAAATTAATTAATTTTGTCATTCACTCACTCATGGAGCTGAGCCCTTCTGGAGGAGCTGCCAATTCTGCAGCTACTCAAGAATTTCTCAGCATTTTATGGAACCCGAAGGTTCATCACCGTGTTCACAAGAGCCCTCCACTGGTCCCTATCCTGAGCCAGATCTGTCCAATCCATACCATCCCATCTTATCTCTCTAAGATCCATTCTAATGTTGTCCACCCACCTACGCCTTGGTCTTCCCTGTGGTCTCTTTCCTTCTGGCTCTCCCACCAATATCCTATACGCATTCCTCGTCTCCCCCATTCGTGCTACATGACCTGCCCACCTCATCCTCCTTGACTTGATCATTCTAATTATACTTCGAGAAGAGTACAAGTTATGAAATTTTGTCATTAGTAAGTTATAATATTGATCATCATAATACAAAAGAGCTTTGCGAGTATATCCAGACAACAGGATGCACATTGAGTGCCATACCAGTTTACCTTCAAACCATTGCATTTAGATGTGGAATCTCTCTCTCCTTCCCTCTCCCTCTTTCCCCTTCCCTTCTCTCAAAAGCACACTAGTGGAAGGATCTTGTAGACAGTTTAGTAATACTGAGACATTCCATATATCCAGCATTATAAGAGTATCCACTCCTACAGTATTTTCACTTCACAAGGAGAAAAATTTGCCATCAGAATGTCCTCGTTGCAGTCTTATTGTGTCAGACTCTCAGATGAGTCTTATCTTTCCTGAACTTAGGAATGCAGTTGTACAATATTTCCTCATCCATTTCTGGGAACCCAAATATTTTCTGGTGTGTACTGATGGAACTAAGTGCAAAATTTGCAGATAACATGTATCTACTACACGTGATGTCAACTTTATATCCTTTAAGAGTTACTAATGGTACTCTGTGACATGCATAGTGCAAGGATGAACTGATAAACCTTATACAGTAATGTCATGAATATTTCCTTACATATTCTGGTAACAAAAATTGGAGGATCTTGTGGTTAGCATGTGCTTTTCCCTTTAGCAGTCTGAGCATAGTGGATGCACATTATAGTGTTCATCTCAGTGAAGAGTGGTTTGTTTGAAATTCCAGGCTCTTCGAGAAAAAGAGAAGGGAGACTGGCGAAAATTGACCTTGGAGGAGAAGAAAGCCCTCTACCGTGCCAGTTTTTGTTTGACATTTTCTGAGATTAATGCTCCAACTGGTGAATGGAAATCTATCGTTGGACTGGCATGTGTATTTATGTCCATTGGGATTTGGATTGTCATCTTGGAGAAACTCTTTGGTGAGAGAGCAGTTATTTTATTGAATTTTATTAAGTTTTGAAGCATTAATCATTATTATGATAGATTACTTGGTTTTGGAATTAAGAAATTCAATTCTTGTCTTAGAAATGAACTTTAATTTGTAGCTGTTCTGTTTTGTGTCTTTATTATCCTCACACTTTGCTGGCTGTTACAGATGTATTTTCAGATCATTCACTTACTTATAGAATATAAAATCTTTGACCTAAAATATGTAGTTATTACATTTTACTTCCTGCAGTAAATCTTTAGGCAATAGCAATGGCACTGAACAGTATTGTATGTTGGTTAGTGTTCCTCCATTGTATTTGGAGCTCCCTAGTTCAAACAGAAGCTGGGAAACAAACAGCCCTGACATTTTTAATGGATTTCCTGGCACTTGAGAGGAAGAGTACGTTAAAAATTGCAATAACCCTTCCCAGCATGAGAGGACAGTATCTTAAAAACAGGTTATAACCATTTCTTCCCAGCTCAGATTTCTGATTGCTTGGGATATGAGAGGGCAGTACTTTAAAACAGGCAGGTAAGCACATCTTCCCAACTCAAATTTAATGAAAATTTTATTTCTCATTTGAGGCCATGTAATGTTTGCAGTTTGTAGCAGAGATTGTTTTAGTAAACCAAGAAGCAAACAGCATCAGTTGGCACTGTATGGATGGATTAGATATAAATTAAATGATTCACTTCTTGTATTCCTTCATGACCTTTTGGAGTTGCTCCATCATAACAAATGGTTACTCAGATACTCATAGAACTCCAAAAGTAATGCCTAAATCTGCTAGCCACTTAGTTTCATAACAGCAGTCATATTTATATGTCAGCCTGCATTAAGTTTCACATGACAAATGAATGAGTGTATTCATGGAGCTCCGTCTGTGGTAGTATTAACCTTCATGATTTGTGTTTGCAGGCAAGCACATATTTTCAGCTGGAATAAAAAAATCTTACAAAGAATGTTTATTGAAAATCTTCACACATCACAGTACACATTACAATCCTCAAGGCTTGTAGGTTTCTGTAGCAGTGATATGCGTTAGAGAAAGAATTTTTCCATGAATAGCTAAAATCTCGTAGACTGCACAATTATTGACTTTTGGATATTATCCATTGTCTAGAAAATCGGCCATTGTACTAATATACCATTATGACAAAGTTTAGATCTCATTGTAAACCTTGACTGTCAAGACGGAATTGGCTCACTTGGCAAATGTTGACAGCATACATACAGAGATAAGTTTTGTTATTACAAATGACCCCTTATTATATGATGAATACCTGGGGTTCAGAATATAATAAATCCAGTGCTTTGAATTTTATGTTTGGTTATGACATATAACATATACAGATATACAGTACTTTGTATAAAGTACATGGACTTTTTATGTCTTTTATTTTATTTTAGAAATCATGGTTATGAAATCAGAAATTTTATTTCATTGTGTACAGAGAATTAAAACAAATTACAACCAAGAACTTTTCTTGAAGGCGTCTTTTAACAGACTATAAAATACTAGTATCTTCTTGAAACAAATGTTTATCTACCGTGAAACTCCTGTGTAAGGTTTCTTTGAGGACCACTGGATTTGAACACTAAACAGAGGAAAATATTTAATGTAGTAATTTTACAAGTTTATTCATTTGGTATCATTCTGATTGTTCATAAAATTATTGAAAACCGTACTGTAGGTATTTTTTCAGTAAAAGTTGTGATAGATTGTATTTCATAAACTTTGACATTAAGATGGATTTGAGATTCTCACAGAAGTGAATGCTGGGTTGTAACACTGTGGAGTTCAGAAAATCTCGTTGTTTCAGGGGAACACACTGCCTCCATCTTCAGGGTTGAAGAGTAAGCCAAGCAAAAAACCAGCAAGAAGCTCTGCTTGCTGCATGCTTCTTGTTGGTTTCTTGCTTGGCTTACTCTTCAATCCTGAAGATGGAGGCAGTGTGTTCCACCAAAACTTTGGGCTTTGTTGGAACACTGTAGCATTACAACTCCAAAGACACTAAGAACTACTTGTTTTCATTGTATATTGCATTCTGATTATTTCATTTTACCTATGGACCGAATTTAATTTACTGACTCTTACTTTTTCAGTGTACAAAGAACTTCCTGCATCATTCTCTGAAGAAAGCAAAAAAGCACAACTCAAGCGTATGATTGACCTTAGAGTAAATCCAATAGAAGGCATCGGTTCCAAATATGACTATGAAAAGGGAGAATGGAAGAAGTAAACTCATGCAGTGTTAGGTACTTAGTTTGATGTAGCATCAAAACCAATGACTCGGTCAATCCAAATCCATGCGTAAAAAATAAAACTAGGAGCAATTTATGTATGTGTCTTTGTTCTAAAATCTGTGATTTCATAAGATGACAAAATAGTGTGGTGCTTTCTGTGGTGGGTATTATAAATTGTGCTTTTAAGAAGTACAGACTATGGATTTTCTGATGTCAGAAATGTGAAAGAAATAAAATATGCATTTCCATCATTTTGCTTTTAGCATTCTAGTAATGAAGGTAATAGAACAGTTCACCTTTATCTGCTCTTTGTTGGATGCGTGGATGTACAGAGATTGCATAAATATGTTGATAGTTATGCAATAAAAGGTAACTTATACAAATAATGGGAAAATAATTTATTATGGCATACATGCACATTCATGGCATAGTAACATCTCAAGTTCTGAAACCTGTGTATCACACAGGGCATTTAAAGCTCTTTTTTTTTTAAATACTGTATGATATAAACAAACAAACGAACTCCATGGCCTATAATCTGCAAGCGAACTATATCAACCGAAATAATTCCTCTTGTTGGCGAAGTTAGTGCCAACTTTAGTGGATAGAGGGACTCACATGGTCAGTGCCATGGTTCCCCATGGCCGTTAATCTCCGTTTTCTAGACCAGAGCTGCTATTTCCTTGAAATAGGCCCTCAGTTATCCTCACAAGGCTGAGTGGACCCTCTTCCAGACCCACTACTTCTCAGAAAATCTGGTAGTGCCAGGAATCGAACCCAGGACCTCTGGATCTGTAGCCAGAAACTCTAACCACTAGGCCACAGAGGCGGTCAAGGGTATGATATATCCTTGAGTAATACTTACATTTACCTCTTTAATCTTGCTGTATTTATTTTCTCATTTTAAAATGTCTAAACCCATTATCAAACTTGGTAGATCGGTGTTTCTTGACTGCCGGGGCCTGACATCAGTTATACCAGGCCTTCATCTTATAAAAAAAGAATTGACTGGGTCGCGGCCTCACAAAGGTTGAGAACCACTGGTGTAGAGAAATGTTTTCAAGCCATTTTAAAAGGTTTTCTTGCATTTTAGTTGTGAGAATTGCACATGATATTCCTCATTTACATTTTTATTTGTTCTTTGCTACACTCTCTCTCTCTCTGTGCATGCATGCATGCATGTGTATGTTTTTCTTTTTTCCGTTTTACAAAATCATGCCAAATGACAAGGTTACTGATACAATGTCAGAAATTATGAAGGAAGCAGTTGTGGTTTAATTAGGGTACTATCCCAGCATTTGTGTGGAGAGACTGAACAGTAATCTCTCTATAGCCAGTGTCTTGGCCAAGATTCCAGCTGAGTACCTAAAAAATATGAGACCTTGGTGTTACTACATCAGCCCACTCTGGAGGTGGCAGCAGCAGTGTCGGCAAAATACCTCGGTAGTACCACATTTCTTTTTGCCCGGTATCAGTACTTAGTTGTAGAAAGAACCGAATTCTTCCCTCCCCCCACCAGTGAATGCATCATGTTGTGTATTATGTATTTCTTTATTGAACGACGTCACAACACAACAGTTAATAATATTTGTATGTATTTTCAAGTAGTACTTTACTACATATTTCATCTTTCAGGGAGCCATCATCAGGTAAATACACATAAAAACTATTTAGCTGTTGAATTGTGTGCTAATGACACGATATAGTATTCAGTTTACCAAATAGTATACATAGTATAGTGCTCTGAGATCTGTTGCTATATTGTATGTTATTATTTAATTTTGATTTCTATTTAATGGGCGCCTCCATTTATGTGTATATGTCCGATCTGGTGAGGAGATCCATCTCAACATAACAATCGTCTCTGTATACAACATGTCCGCATAAGCATCACCACATCTTATTACGATTACAACTACTCACTTTGAAGATATAATTATATGTACAGCTCTTAACTGTATTTCAATTATGTAACTAGTTCATTTTAAGACTTCTACTTTCATTGTAACTTTATATTTTATATTATTGTATACCATTTGGAAAATCTAATACTACATCATGTAATTAGTATGCAATTAAGTAGCTAAAAGTTTTTAAGTGTATTTACATGGTAATGTCTTCTTGAAAGCAGAAACCTATAGTAAAGTATTACTTGAAACCACATACATATAATTTTTGTTGGATGCATTCTGTTGTGTTATTATATAAAATCCTTTATTGGGATCCGTCGTAACACCACAACGAAACGGTCTAGGTTAGTATCACCTTAGCTACATGTTTCGGCTTTTAAAGCCATCATTAGGCAAATATATAGTTACTGCACTCACACACTGTTGAACTGCATTTCAGTGTGACAGTAGAGCTAGATACTTGACAACTGTGTTACACTATGATAATACAAGGTTACTGCACTCACACTATTGAACTGCATTTGAATGTGACAGTAGAGCTAGATACTTGACAACTGTGTTACACTATGATAATACAAGGTTACTGCACTCACACTATTGAACTGCATTTGAATGTGACAGTAGAGCTAGATACTTGACAACTGTGTTACACTATGATAATACAAGGTTACTGCACTCACACTATTGAACTGCATTTGAATGTGACAGTAGAGCTAGATACTTGACAACTGTGTTACACTATGATAATACAAGGTTACTGCACTCACACTATTGAACTGCATTTGAATGTGACAGTAGAGCTAGATACTTGACAACTGTGTTACACTATGATAATACAAGGTTACTGCACTCACACTATTGAACTGCATTTGAATGTGACAGTAGAGCTAGATACTTGACAACTGTGTTACACTATGATAATACAAGGTTACTGCACTCACACTATTGAACTGCATTTGAATGTGACAGTAGAGCTAGATACTTGACAACTGTGTTACACTATGATAATACAAGGTTACTGCACTCACACTATTGAACTGCATTTGAATGTGACAGTAGAGCTAGATACTTGACAACTGTGTTACACTATGATAATACAAGGTTACTGCACTCACACTATTGAACTGCATTTGAATGTGACAGTAGAGCTAGATACTTGACAACTGTGTTACACTATAATAATACAAGGTTACTGCACTCACACTATTGAACTGCATTTGAATGTGACAGTAGAGCTGGATACTTGACAACTGTGTTACACTATGATAATACAAGGTTACTGCACTCACACACTATTGAACTGCATTTCAATGTGACAGTAGAGCCGGACACTTGACAACTGTGTTACACTATAATAATACAAGGTTACTGCACTGACACACTATTGAACTGCATTTCAATGTGACAGTAGAGCCGGACACTTGACAACTGTGTTACACTATAATAATACAAGGTTACTGCACTGACACACTGTTGAACTGCATTTCAATGTGACAGTAGAGCCAGACACTTGACAACTGTGTTACACTATAATAATACAAGTTACAAAAATTTGATAAAATTTAAAATTATTATAAAACGAAAGTTATAGAATAAAATATGGTTAAAATTATTCATGTAATGTTTCATATTATGAAGTCAGTTTTGCAATCTTGTTATATTCCAGTGGGCTTATAGCAGTATATTCTGACTTGTACACATATAGTTAACTGCTTGGAAGCCTGTGATATTGGTGTACTGTTGTTTGGTATTAATCTGGAAATGATGTGACATTAATAACAGTTAAATTTATTGTGATTAACTATAACAAGAGCTTGCCTGGTGCAAGAGGTCTTCCTCCTCCTCCTCTGGACCATACATGCAGTTTTGTAAATAGTTCTCAGAGGTGAGTATGAAGATTGGTATCTTGCTCATATGTGATACGATGCCATGTAGTTTATTAGTTAGGTACCTATGCTTTGGAGGAATATGCTGACTCTTTCTTCAGGATAGTTCTTCTATAAGACAGTAATCTCCATCAGAAGTTGTAAGGTTGAGAACACAGTAGCTCTAACATGCGGTACACAACACAATGTTAAAAACCTTCTCCTAGTGGGAGATGGATATTCTGTTCCCAGTGTATTAACCTTTAAACGACGGGCTTTTGAAATGGTGGTAAGCTTGAGCTGGCCAGAGTTTATTTAAATGACCGCTGCTGGTGCACGTTTAAATGCACGTTCCTACTCTGCGTTTCAATGTCCGTTCCTGTTAGGGCGCTTAACCAATTTTGAGCATTGTGTTTAAAAATGCTGTGTCTAACACAATTTTTATGATAAATGGATGGAATTAACTTCGTTTGTATCGGCAAAGAACATAGTGTCACATATTACAACGAAATATTTGAAAAATTTTATACAAAAAGTTATACTCTATTTTAATTTTTTTTATTTTAATTTTGATGTGTACTGCAAAATTGATGTCCCAGTTCTTCACAGAGTTATTCTGCGTTATAAATTCGTTTCGGTTTGTAACACATGACAAATTTAGCAGTTCCCGATGCCATAAAACATATGAAAGCAATAAAATCATTTGGTTCTCTGCTGGAAAACCTTACA